AACAAAGCCAGTATATAAAACGGGTAAGGTCCCTTTTTTTTTTTTTTTTTTTTTGTTTTTTTTTTTTGTTCAGAAGTTATTTTTTATTAGAACAGCTAACCAAAGAATGGAACAAAACCAACCCCCATTTTTAGGATATGTACCACTTGGAGAACAGTTTCAGAAGAAATAAAGACGGCAGAGCAAATCTGTTTGGCTCTTCACTAGACACAAAGTAAGAAAGGAAATTTGCATACCAGAGCACTCTCTTGAACTCATACCCACTAAACAGGGGAACAATTCCTGATTTTTCAATTAAATGAGTTAATTCTGATCTCAACCCTCACATGAATTCCTCCTGTTTAGTGGCTCTTCACCAGCATCACTAGAACACACATTTATACAGTTCCATTGCCGGGAGTCCTATTATATGGAAGCGAAGAACAACACTGGGGCCCGTGGGCAACACTATACAACTGCCAAGGCAGTAAGGATTCAAAACAACAAGCAACACTGACTGCAAGCAAATACCCAGAAGAAACAGAAATACAGAACTCTGCAGTAGACAAAAAAACATGTCAAAACAAAGCAAGATTGCTGATGAAGTTTTTCAAGTGTTGTATGTCTGACCTGGAGCAATCATCCAAAATTTTCTTTTATCAGGAGGTGAAATTAGTGTCTCCACAAAGGTCAAAATCAATTTTTAGTAATAGGAACAGATTTTCTACACCAATACAATTCTCCTTCACCTTATTCTTTCAGACCAAGTAATTCTGCCTGATGGTGTCAATCTCATCTCAACACAGATTTTTTCCTGAAACTAGAAGTTTCTAGCTTTGACAATGTAAAAAACTTCTTTCAGTAACACCCATCCCCCTGTAAAACAACAGAACAGATTTCCCCCTCGCTACTTATGAGAATGTCAGCAAAACCAAAGTCTGCATGCTTAATAAAACAAAACACCTCCAGGGAATTCCAGCATAAGATTCTGCTTCCCATTCTGAAAAAAACCCAAATAATACTGCCAGCATCTCCACCCAGCCTCAATTTGAAAAACAATTTAAAAACAATTAATGAAAAACAATTAAAAGCAGTTCCCAAAGTAATCAAGCACCCCTTTCTCAGTTCTAGATTCTCATCAGCTTTCCATTCCTTGAGCCCTCTCTTTACCCGTGCCTCTACAAATGCAAGAACTGAGTATTTGTTCTTAATAGTTTTAATCTCATTATATAATCTCTCAGATCATAATGAAAACCATGGATTAAGGACACAGATAAACATCTGCTGAAGCAGGAATTCAGCCTCCTGATATGTGAGGAAAATACAATGGTACATACTAACTTCTATTAGACCACTGAATATCTAGAACACAAAGTACATTGCTTTAAATTTTAAACATACACATGCACTTACATCCTTCCAATTCTTCACCCAGTGTCGGGTTTTCTCCAGTTTATTAAGTTGTTGCTCTCTCTAAACGCTGTGCCTTCTTTTTAGTGTCAAAGGATGTTTGTTATTCTGTTTGCTTGTGAAAGGTTTACTTTATGGGCTATTTTCTCCTAATTTTCTGTGGGACAGAAAACTGGTGCTACAAATGGAGGACAGTGCAAACCAAGGACAAATTCATTAAAATACAAAAGAGCTCACCTGAAGAGGTAAGATATCAGATGCACACAGCTGCCATCTTTCAGCATGCTTTGGGATGTAACAGTAGGACACACTCTTATGCTACAATCATGGAGAAGCAAGAGGTGACAGGGGATACCCACACGTACCCTGCATACATGAAATTCCCACAAGAGATGCAGCTGGCATTTCTAGGAGAGGGTGCACAAAGTCCCACTTTCCCTCCTACACACAGGACGGCACATGTTATTGCAAGCTATACCTGCAAATGCTGGAGGAAGCCATGCCAGTCAGATGGGTTGAGGGCAAAAGCAATCAGTTCAACACCATGGGGATCCAGCAACCTACATTGCTGATGTTATGCAAAGCAGATGACTGTATGTGGTTGTTTGCTTTTGACTGGCCTCTGCTGATTCAGTTAGCAGAACTTCAGCAGATACTGCAAAATACTTATTTACTCCCTCACTATCCACTGAACAGATCTGCCTTTACTAAGACAACAGCCTTTTGCTAGGCTGCTTTCAGTGCAGTAAGATGTTTTCTATCATTTTTCACTAATCACCTTTTCCTATTGCTTCTTGATGCTTTTCTGCTACCTTAAACTGCAACTCAACTCGACTTCACTCAGCAGGTCAGTCCATCACTATGGTATCAGAGCACTTTTGCTGCAGCAGTTGGGCTCAGGGCTAGCTGATATGGATCTGCTCAATAGTATGACCCCAAAATCTTTTATAGCTCTATCACAACTGCCCTGAGGACAGAAACAGGTCTGTGACAGATGGTATATGTCTTATTTGTCAATTAACTATTACATTCCCTTAAATGGCTGGTTGGGTTGGTCATACCCTTCTAGATGGAAACAGGAAGACAGCTCAGCTTGACGGGCCTCAGAGCAAATGTTGGAAAGGAAGCTGAGAAGGAGCTGGGACATGACAGGTAGAGCTTCCCTGGGACTGGAGAGGTCCAGGCAACTCTGACGTCCCTTTGCTGGCTGCTACCCTGCCTAGCAGCAAGGATCTGCCTACAAGGATATGTTATCTTACC